CCACAATACTTCGCGTAAACGCATATCTAAATTTTACACCTACCTGCACCACTCCACGCCTTCGCATCATACTTTAATCGATATGAAAGTTTCAAAACTATCGGCACAAATTCATAGCGAAAATCGAATTTGAGAGAATCATTGTATGTCGTACATTTTGGCAATCGGCTCGCTGTAAAGGTTGCATTATTTTTAAAACTCAAAATCTTTACCCGCTTCTCTTTTGCATCGACAGTCAAGTCTAATAAAATTTCTCGCTTCTGATCTTTGGTGGAATTTGTTAAAATACTGTAGCAGATTTCATATTGAAGATTAGTTGCAGTTGTGGGAATTAGGTGGTGCAAAGGTCGTATGGTTGCAATAACTTTCACCACTGGATAGGCGCGATAAATAAAGACTGTATCTGCATTTGGCGCACCAATAGCCAGATCATTGAAGCCATTCGCATCTATGTCAACACCTTTGGAGAGACCATGTCCAAACATACCATCGGCGAATTGGTCGCTTACATTCAAAATCTGTCTTGGCTGCTCAGCTAGTCCGGTTGAACTGCCAAAATAAATAGCGACAGCACCACCACCGTCGGCAAACGGCGCACCAATGGCTATGTCTAATAATTGATTTTTGTTTTTGTAATTGCGTACATATGTGTATGCATGTACATATGTATATGCATTAACGCTTGTAGTTTATTTCAAAAATGGGCTTACCCTTATAACCATCTCCATTTACATCACCTAGGCTGCTGAGCGTTGTTCCAAAGCGTCCTCGATTGAGCAGAGGCGACTCTATGATCAAGGGCTTGAAATTTAACTGTAATAATAAAATAGTAAGGGGATAGATACTATTCGGGTATTTTAGATTAGAGATGCCAGATCGAAATAAAAAAGTCGGTTTTTGAGTCGATTTGAATCTAACCAACACTGAAATTACAAACATTATTTTAAGTATATTTAAAAACATGCATTGCTATAACGGTTTCAATGTCTAGATTTATCCAAAAGCTAATAGCTAAGAGTCCCTAAATACTTAAAAAAATACAACAATTTGAACATTCAACAGAAACTTCATAAATTCTTAGCACTACTTAGGTAGAATTTTTTTCGTTTTTTTTATCACAAAGGAGAAAAAATTTGTTTTATTTCCAAATGAACCGCTATTTAAAAAAATGTATTATACACAAAAACGCTAGCCCAATAAAACTTGCGTATACAGATTTTTTCGCAATAGAGATTTTTATTTATTTTTTGGTTTTCATATTCAACAATTTGTTATTAGGTCAAAAAATAGCAAAGAACGATTTTTTTGTTTTCGCTAACTGCATATATCAATCCATAATCACCCTTTTTAGAAAAATTTTAGTATGCAGTTTTGCAGCGCATTTTCTTTCACACAAAGTATGTTCGACAAAATTTTCAAATGAATAAAATGCCTAGCATCGACAAAAAAAATGGAATTGCCAAGAATCAACGCTGTTTTGCAGCCACTTGAAACTTGTACTTTATTGTACTAAATTTGAATGGACTGCGAAACTGCATACCCGAAATTTTTCTAGAAAATTATTAACTTACACATTGCCGCTCTCTTGTATACTTTGAAATCCTTTCATTTTTTCAATATCTACATACTTATTATTTTGCTCCAATTGCACTTTAGCTATTTTTTATTAAATAAACTAGTGCATATACTCTAAATTACAGCTAGATACATTATCCAAGCCCCCCTCATTTTTTGTACTAAAAGGCCACAAATTCAAATTTGATTAAAATTTTCTGGATTTTCTAATGCAATGTTACATGCATCAATTGAGAAAAACTCGAATGTCGATTCTTGAAAATTTTGGATCGATTCATGGATCGAATCAGACCTAAAAATCGAGAAAAATCGAATTGGAAAAGCATCTCTAATGCAGATGTGCTCGAAATGTTATCGATAAAAATTATTGAAAATCAACACGACCGCTTAATCACTTGCAAATTGCAAGTTATACTAAAATTAAATGATCTATAAAATTGCATACCCGAAATTTTTATAAAAACAAAAAAAAAATAATTTTGGTGAACATTTTTGTATAAGATTTAATTTTTTTTTCGTTTTAGAAGAGCCCTCCAGTTGTTTTCAACTAAGTTTTATTACGTAACCTTTATTAAATTTTTAAAATTTTCTTCAAAATCGTTACTTTTTCTCCATTTTTCAAAATTAATCAAATTGAGTGAAACATGAGGGCTCCACTGAACTGTGAACCACTGTGCATCGGCTTTTTACTATTTACCATGCACGCTCTCCTTGACCACCCGTACACCTCTTCTAAAATAGAGGGAAATGTTTTTTATCGGAAAATTCGAGAACACGAACTACAATGTTGGGGATGCTTTTGGTGCTATAACGAACTTTCGGTTTCCGGTTATTCCGGTTAAAAGGATGAACTTCCGGTCCCCGCGAAACCGGATGTTGGCATTAGTAATAAAAAATAGTGCATTCGCGACTTGGTGTTTTATATTTTTTTCGTTTCCCAAAAAAAAACATTTTCGACCATTTTAAAACTTCAGGGCTTGCTTTCAAACAAAAGTTACGTAGTTTACTCCGCAGAGTCCGAATTTGTAGTATGAAAATGTGTGTTCCGATTAAAAAAGTTGACTTCCGGTCAGTTTTACCCACTCCCGGTCGAAACCGGAAGTCAGAAGTGCGGCCAAAAGATAGACTTCTTAGTTCAAATTTTTGCGTTTTCCAACACAAATTATTTTCCTCCATTTTAGAATAGGGGTAGTCTAATACACCCTGTATATAGCCGAGTGGTTTCAGGTTCGTGCTTCCAGTCTATAGTTCGCCCGGTTGATTCTTGACCCAAGTAACATAGAAAAATACAAGTTCTATTCTACTAATTATAGTTCTGCCTGACGATGGAGATATGTACATACATTTGCATAGACGTGTGCAATTATTTACTTACCTGACCTTTCACTCCCCGATTTATATACATATAAACTGCACCCGATTCTAAAATGCCATTTACCGTGCGATATGGCGCACCTATGAGAATATCATCTAAACCATCGCCATTCACATCCTCTACCAGTACGGCATAGCCGAAAAGCTCACCATATTGTTCGCCTGCCAGGTTTAAGACTTGTTTATAAGCTCCAAATTTTCTTGTGTATATTAGTGCCTGCAATCAGAAATAAATATTTATATTTACCAGTATGCACATTAGGTCAAATGATACATTTGGCTGTGCGAAAGTCCAATTTCGTAAAGGCAGTTTTACATTATTTTTTGTTGCCATTCTGTAGGGAATACTCCAAAATTACAGAAACTTCACTAGGGTTTTGTAAAATAAAAAACACCGTATACAGCAATAAACCAAAGTTACACTTTCAAAACGTTATTGATACGTTGTTTGCGCAACCGGTTTATTTTGTAAATTTCAAGTGCATTGTTTTTGAAAAGTGTGAATAACTAAAGGAAAATTTTAAATGGGAAACAAAACTATATCTAAGTGAGAACCAATGTCCCAATTTAAAAAAGCAGCTTTTTGTCATTTGTTTGCAAAAAAATGACTTATTTGCATAACCTCAAAAATTTTCTGATTTGTTTTCATTTATGATTTTATGTAAGCTTTTACAATTTTGTTAACTTTCGGCAAACAAAATGGAATCGGAAATGGATAAACTAAGATGTAATGAGTTGAATTTGTTTTACTTAACTTGCCGTTTTTAGCCGTTTTCAAGAAAAACTGTTTTTTCTGGGCTATCATGCTATCTCAAAAGGCAAGTTGTTTGAAGTTTGGCTGATTGGATATTCGAAAAAAGAAAAGCTTTTTCGGTTGTCAACCATGTTGAAAAAAATTTGGTGCTGCTGATATTTGCGAAAGTTGCATGAAACTCTTAGTAGAAAAAACGCGTATTTTTTGCAATTATTTATCAAATAAATATAAAAATTATGCGAAACAATTTGGAAAGGATGCTTAAATATTTAGATCTGAAAACATAGCGTTTCTTGCTGATGAGGTTCTTTTCGAAATCAAAAAGCCAACTGTGTCGACCATTAGCCGGATTCTAACATTCGCTATCGCTAAAGTGCTAAAATAGGATAGCACACCTTTTTCCCAATTTTTAGCTATCTCCAAAAATATCTCCAAAATTTTTTGGTGACAAATAATACATTTTAATGGTGATAAATAGGGAAAATGGAAGTATATGATAGCAAAAAAAATAGCAGCCTCAATTTGGATTGCATTTCATCTCCTGTAGCGTAGCTGAGGCATGTTACAAATACACTAGCGCCTTCGCAAAAAGGCAAATCCTTGAGAGAACTTACGGACTGAAATTTCGAATTTTTTTTTACTCAAAGTGAATAGAGCTTTGAACATTCTCTTAACAAATGAGTTTCGTTAACATTCGTATTATTTTCAAGAATTTACCGGGGTCTTTTGGTAAATGTGTCACAAAGCAACACTTGTATTCTGAATATAAATAATGTCGGTGGAGAACTTGGAAATACTGAAACCTCAAGTTAAAATGAAGTGTGTTATGAAGACTAACTGCTTTAGGAATCTCACCTCAAAACATATCTGCGAGACATGTAGTAAATATACATTTTTTTTTTTTAATTTAGGAATTTCGATAATGCCATAACTAATCGCTAGAAGAAACTATTTATGTACATGTGACCCATACTTATTTTATTATGTAGCTCATTTTAAAGGGGAGGGGGTTGAGTATGGTTTGAAAATAACTTGTGTCAAAACCAAGCTAATTGGACAATCTTTTTGAGTACTACCTAAACACATATACTCATCATTTGAACATTCAAAAAAGCAGTAAAGTCTGTTTTACGAAAGCCAAGTCTGTTTAACATTTTATTTACGCCTTTACACTTGTTTTAAAGTTTGCCATCTTTTTACATTAAAATAATGCAATATTTTAGCTGCTATTAATTTCGCACAGAAAAAGTAATCATTTGACCTAATGTGGTATGTATGTAAGTGAGCACACAAGTATTTATTATCAAATCATTGGTAATAAGACTTACCTGCCCCAATAGTTGATAAGCTCGTGGCACTGTAGCTACGTAATATAGTTGTTGATTATTTTTTTCGAAAAAGCCGGATGCTACTGCATATCCTTTGTACGTAAATGGTATGGTACCATGTTTCGAAGAGTCAGGACTTCGATTTAGAACATCAACGTGTATTGTTGCTCCTATGAATAAATATGAATATATAAGTAAGGTCACGAACTAGCACTTACCTGGCGTGCTTCACTGCGCCTTAAAAGTATTTTTGTGTTGTCTAATGTCCGTATTGTAAAATTTAATTTAGTTTATAAATTTAATTAAATAAAACTTTTCAAAACGGTGGCAACCCTCCCCAAAAATATTTTCGGCAGTAAACTTTCCTAAACCTCTTCAGTTTGATACCCATAATGCAATATTTAATATATCTTATCAAGTACATGAAATTGAAATTTTCATATATACCTCCACACAAATATTTTCGGTTGTAAGCCCTCTTATTAAACCTCTTTCTTTTGACAGCCATTATGCAGTGTTTGCTTTATCTTATCAATTTACTTAAATTGCAATTTTTAAAATGGTGGCAACTCTCTAGTTTTTTCCTTTCATCTTTTAAGTTAGACCTCTAGCAATATATCGACGAAAACGGCATTCAATTTCATGCATTAGTCGAGTGATGTGAGTACAAACATACACACAGACATAGGTAAATTCGGGTGATCCAAATAAGTTAAGTCGGAATTTAGATGCTTTCACCCCCTGGGATTGTTCCATAAAAAAAAATCATACCCTTATTTTTTTATTTTGAAACCAAAAAATATTGGGAGGTCGCCCAAATCCCTCAAAAAATAGAGGTCTTGAAAATCAATGTTTTTTGATCGGAAAACTTTATTTCTCTTCAGGAGACCTTCAGTAAAATACCCATAAATAATAATAATAAACTGCGAGACCAATCGATAAATATTCAGCCTTATCATGAGTTAAATTTTCCCCGAACCGGTTGACTTTTCACTTTTGGTTTCCATGGTTTTACTATGGGCGGATGACAAATTTTCGGGCGATATTTCTTTCAGGCGAAACTCAGGATAAGGCAGATTGATTTTCTAGAAATCTATACCATTTGCGGAGAGCTCAACTACCTCTAAATGTTTTTTGATTATGAAAAAAAAAAAAAAAAATTGGGGTATATTTTTTTGGATTTAAAACAATCTTAGGGGCTTAGAGGTGAGCTTACGACCAGACTTGAGAGCTAATCACTGAGCACCAGAAGCAATAGCAAACTGAAACACCTTGCTGTACCCTACCTGGGCAGCGGGTTTCAGATAAGGCAGAAAGCCTGCTCCCCGGAGAATAAACCGCGGTCTGCTGAGGGCAGGACACTCGCATATGATATGCCTACACTATCTCCTCATTTGTTCTGCATCTCTTCCGGTTTTTATAATTAGTCAGACGGAGTTTAAAGGTGTGCGATGCTAGCAGGTACAACCACCAGTAGCTTAACGTTTTCACGAATGAGAGATAGGAGAATCTTCATGAGGTTTATATAATACGCTCTGCACATAATTCTGGATACGTTGAAACTTTGTTGTTAAGCCAATACCAGTTTATAGCAAATCCAGAGCTGCCCTGCGCCGTCAACACGATGTAGAGATTCACTTGTTTATTTACTACGTTGTTGCTCAGTAGCTTCGCGCGGCCAATACTTAGGAATGTAAAATGCAGCAGTGGCTCGACAGCTTATAGGATTTGTAGAGATCAAGCTCTGCGTGAGTGACTGCCGCCCTTACGCCTTTCCCATCTTCGACCCGTCTGTGTAGACATTCACCGAGCCAGAAATCCTCATGCCCCCACGGCAGACTTCAATCTCTATAGTGGTCATGAAGTTCGTCCCAAAGTGCAGATCTGAGAAAGTTGACGCTATACTACTGTGTATATAGGACCTGCACACAAACGGTCCCGTAGCGTATACCAAACCAATACCCTATGGAACAGTATCGGCCTGACTAGCGCCATGAAGATGCAGTGAGGAAGAGAAGACGAAAAGCCCCAAGTACAGCCCGGCATATTTTGCATGTATAGAATGCCGTTGAGCTCTTCTTCGCCTTCTCTTCCACATTGAGGCGCCACGACAGCTTGCTATAGATTCCAAGATACTTGGTGCTTTACTTCAGCTGTAGGGTCACCCCATCCAGCTTAGGCTTAGACCAGTTCGGAACCTTATAATCTCTGCCGAAAAGTACCAGATCTGTATTTTCTGCATTGATATTAGTCCCCACTTCGTTTTACCTTGCGGATTACTTCTGTGAAACGGCAATTTCAAAAATAAAATAAATTTTTTTTTTTTGCTCACCTAAGAGTTGCTTTTTTACATTGTTCGAAATTGCCTTGCAAAAATACTTTAGACTCAGGTGTGTATGCGCACTTACTTTTCTCGTACGATCTAATGTGCAAACATAAAACTAATTGTCCTGCCATTTAGTACATATTTACGTATACATAAATATTTCTTACCTGACCACCGATATATGCCTGGTGCACCGATTATAATCTCTTCATTATTCGGCGTCATGTGCACACTAAAACCAAGCTCACCAAACATAAAATCAGGCCTTTTATCAGTAATCTGCTTATTCTCTCGGCCTAGATATTATTAAAAAAAAAAATTTAATAAAAGTTCATCTTCGTTATAATTTGATAAATACCTTTGTCCGAAAAAGGACTAATTTTCCATGTCAAACCATATTGTAATAGAACACCATTATCGAGTGTATTGTTGGTCCAATAGCAAAAGCCGTGCATGAATAAATGACTCGAGCTGTCTCTGTAAAGTAATACATACGTACATACATATTTTTTAATTTTCAACTTAAAGTATAAAAAATGTATGTATGTATATATGTAGATAGAGTATATCACATGCCAATGTATGTACATAACAAATTGAGTAGTTAGGCTGCAATCATTTAGGATTTTTTAACATTCGAATATTTACTGTCGGAGTTACATCGGAATTATAAAATTAATATATTTTATAACTTGCTCCTAATACTTCGAAAACATATGTATTAAGATTTACGTGAGTTGGACCGATTTGAAAATACCTCAAAAGATCTCATTATTTTAGTTTCGTTAATAAAATGTTTAAATATTTAAACGCAGGCCTTTTAAGCTTAAGCTCTTCTATTATTTGAGGTGATTTTTTGGGGGAAAAAAATTTACAAAATGTGTTTTATTTATTAAAAAAAAAACGCTTTTGGAGGTATTTTTAAATCGGCACTGCTCTCATACATAATTATTAATGTTTTGGCAGAGGACTAAGAATGGTGCTTTAACGTTTTTTGTTTGGCCGAACTTCTGCTCCAATTCGTGTTCTGCGTCTTGATGTTGTGACACAAATAGAGATATATTCACTCGGAGGTTCGCAATTGTCTGGAGAGAGGCGATCGCTATTCGAAAAAAACTTTTTTGATGTACCAGAAATTGAACCGCGAGCATCCAGAGGGTAGTAGGCACCTCTAAGCACTCGGATACGGCGGCTGCTTGCCGAAAAAGGTCAAAGAAAATGCAATAATGTAATATTAAAACACGTAATTTTTAAGCAAAAAACAAAACCGACTTCAATTCTCATATAAAAATTTAAGAGTAAGCAAAATTTCTTTATGAGGCAATGATCGGATCTAAACAAAATTAGTATGGGAGCCATTTTTTTCAAATTGCGACTTCTCAAATAACTGAAACCCGGGTTTGAAAAAAAGGAGAACAATCTAACACTTTAATAGAAGCATATTTTTATAAAAAATTCGTGAAAAAACAAAAAAAAAAATTGCATATATCGTTAAAATGTTTCTGTGCCCAGACTTTTGTGGTTCAGTGCATATATTTTTGTTTTTGGAAAGGCAAATGGTTATTTGATAGCAATTAATTTCGAATTTTGTTGTTGTGCTTCACATTTCTCTTAAAGAACCTTAAGCTGTGATTTTGGTTTGGATTTGGCGAATAAAAATCGCTCTTACCGAAACCGCTGTCTTTGGCTAAGTGTCGGCGTTAAATATTTGATCGCCCCATTTGTATGACAAGTCATGTGCGTCATGTGTGAAATTGGAGCAAAAGCTTTGTTAAGCACTTAGCAAAAATTTGAGCGCAAGTTTTTTTTTTTTATATATATTTTTTAAGATAAAAGGCATGCCAAGTACATTTTAAAAATAAATAAATATTTCTATGTAATGCGTATGAGTCATACGGTATGACACATTACCTTGTAAGAGCAAAAGCTACAGGAGTAAAGTATATAGTACACATGTACATATATATGTATGTATGTCTGTGGCATTTCATTAAAACAGTTCATCTCGAAATAGGCCATTTTTGCTTTAGCGCAATATCTCATTGGATTCCTAAACAATATTTTAACGATAAGCTATCCATAGGCGTAGGTTCAGATGCCCTTTTAATAGAAGCTTAGTAAAAATATATAATTTTTCAAGGGAAACTTACTAAATACTACATAATGTATACAATTGGAATCAAATATGATATATTGCTTATCCCCAACAGCCTTCCGTTAAACTAGAAAAAGCCTTGAAAGCTTCGAAAAACTCAAAACTTTTATTGCGAGGCCAAGATTTGTATGAATTAAAAAAACCGTTTTGATCGAAAAAAATCCAGTTTATTCGATAATCAAAAAATCAAGCTTTCAAAAAAACCGCATATAATATAATAATAATAGATTGGCGTTTACACATATGTTAGTGTTTGGCCGAGCTTCTCCTCCGATTTGTGGCTGCGCCTTGATGTTGTCACACAAAGCGGAGGACCTACAGTTTTACGCCGACTCCGAACGGCGATTGTATTTTTATGAGAAGCTGTTTTTCATGGCAGAAATACACTCGGAAGTTTGCCATTGCCTGCCGAGGGATGACCGCTGTTAAGAAAAACCTTTTTTCAATTTTTTTTGCGATGTTGCTTTGACCAGGGTTTGAACCCAGGCGTTGCGGAGTGGAAGCGCGCACTGCTTACCACTACACCACAGCGCCCGAAAAACCGCATATAGATATAAAAAAAAGCAAAATGGTGGAAACCGGTTTGGAAAAACGGATACAATCACCCTACAGCTTAGTGAGGTATGTAGATAGGCTAGTGATCTAGATATTTATGTAGTATATTCGTATTCTGGTAGACTTCGAAATCGTCATCCGCAAAATGGTAATTTAAAAAGCATATGAAAAAAGATCGAATTTCACAAACTAGGCGATCAATCAATCGGCTTACCGATCAATCGGCAATATTTTCATATTCGGCTGAATGCTCGGCTTCAGCAAAAAAACACTACCGAAGTTTTTGCCGAACCCGAAACTTTTTGCTATCTAGATTTTTTTGAACATGAACAATCTGTTTCAAAAAAATGTGGCATTGCAACTTTTTGTTAAAATCTGCTGTCAACTGAGATACTTCGGAATTTGAGGTAATAGCAAAGGGAACCGGGTCCAGTGTGGTACCCAGTGAGAGTTTCATGGTCACCTCTGCCTAAATTAACAAGATTATTTAAAGCTGCTTTTCTCCCGGGCAACAGAATGGGCCTTTGTTTCATTCATGTGAACTTTTAATATTTAGGAGCGGAACCGTCGAACAGAACCTATGCTTTATTAATATCACCGCTGAAAACCGGAGGGAAGGAAGCTATATCTCACAATCATTCGCCATATTCTTGGTATCGGCGCCTTTACTTTCACATAAAGCGGTATATTATAGTCGAAAAGGCTCAAACATATGATTATAGAGCGTACAAAAAGGGTTCGTATGATTTTAGAGATTTCAAACCCCACTTTAGGACAAAACGATCAACAGATGTTAGACGTTGTCAAGAACCCGTTGAAATTAAATTCCGATATTTATCAAAAATTAAAGGACTTTTAAAATAAACATGACTTATATGGCGGATTCACCGTTTTAGTTCTGAACTAAAGTTGAAGTTAGTTAACAACTCAAACGCGTTCTGAACTTTTCTCAGTTGCTCTTCTGGAGGGAGAAACACAACAACAACCACATGGAAGAAAATTTCTGTACTACATAGAGCGATGAATCCGACTTTAAGGTGTGTAAAGTAGAAGTACTTCAAAACTAGCTTATCGGCTACTAGAAACTACTAACTCGCTAGTTAAATAAAAAGTAATAAAAATTGTACATATACATAAGTAAACATACAAAGCTTTCGATTGTGGCGCGCATGCAATTAAGGGATCTGCGTCTCTGCTCCCACCGTCCATGGCTCCACCTAACCACTGCTGAGTGCTGTTCAATTGCAACGAAGCGAAGGTTTGAGACGGCATTTCATTTTGGAAATCGAATTTTTTTAATGTTTTGTTATCAAATTCGTATTTGTAAATGCCACCAGTTT